CGCAATCTCATCATTCGCACCAGTACCAGCATAGCTGATGTCGCCTACGTGCACAACAGCCGAGAATGGTGTGACGTGATGGTCCTCTTTGATCTGCTTAGCAACAAGATGACCAGCCGGGATAACAGTACCCATGTCACCCATGACAGCAAATGTGTGTGTTGTAATAGTAGGACAATCTGTTTTGAAGCTGATCTCGTTTGACCATACTTTGGAGTTTCCAACCCTGAATCGATAAAGAATGGTTTGAATCGGTGAATGACTGAAGCGTCCTACATTACTTGTAATAGTATGTCTGGCATTGATCTAAACCCGTCATCCAAGCTTCATAGATGGTTCCCTTCCATCCTCCGATTCCAACATCGTAAGTCCTGTTCTTCGCCATCTGTCGAAAGATGTAGCTGCCGCTAACGTTTCCGTAGCGCACAAACGAAGGCAGTTGTTGTTTATCCTCACTGCCATTTACGATCCACACGACTATCACAGTGGACCAGGTACCATCAGCAAGTAGAGATAGGTGAACTTGCTAAGAAGAAGAGAGGGATACTCAGCAGAAATCGACCGTAAAAGACAAACCTGTGGGACACCTTTCTCTATGAGGACATCAAGTTCTGCATAGTTTTCTCGAAATTGCTGCCAAGAAATAGTGTAAAATTCTTCTTTGTTCTTTGTCACTTGTTTCATGACACGCTTCATAGTGCGGACGAGATGGTTCGGGTCTGCGACAGGATCTTCTGGTTCAATGTCATGGAAGAAATGCTGTAATTCATGAACATCAAGTTCATCGTTGCCATTTAAATCAATGTGCCGAAAGAATAATCGAAGTGGAGACTCTTCAACTGCAAAGGAGCAGGTTGCTTGGCGAATGATTAAGAGAAAAAAAGCATACCTCGTGTGAAAGATTTAGCATGTACTAATTTTGCCACCAAAAGACAGAATAGGAAGTATGAAACTGGAGTCATATCTTCAAGCCACAAAGAACCGGCTATATTTGGAGAAATCTAAGTGTTTTGTTTCTGAAATCATTAAAGAAGACAGGCAACCCAACATAAATCATATCTTGGCAATGTGAAAATTAAAAAGTATGGTTTACAGACAGATGCCCATCTATGTTTTTATAGAGGTAAGTGTTCAAATGGTGTTTTTTGCGAGATTCAACCGAATGAAAAATGTCTGTTGTGCCAAATTTTCAAAAATGGCAGGAAGATAGAGTCTCAAGAGCCCTCTATTCCATCGTCTATGTTTGCAAGTAATGTGACGCCTCGAAGTTAGAAGTAGATTCGAAGAACCTTTTCTCAACGAACCGTTCCCTTTGCTGAACTCATTGCCTCGGATGGCTACATCTAGAAACTGTTCTTACAAATGTTGATGCAGTTGTGTATGCTTTGGTAGTAATCAACACACGTTCTCTAGGACATTATAATGCATTTGGCATGCACAAAAATAAGTGAAAGAAAACATTGACTGCATCAATGTAGTGACATACGATGTTGCAACTATCGTGCATTACTTTATCAACACATTCAACTGATAGGCTCACTCTTTCTGTCTAGTAATGCAGAATAGGAACGAGAAAGATTAGCCTGCTAGAACAAGGTGATAAGGAGAGGTACTCATTATTTTCATCTTCGTTATCGTCAACCTCTCCAGGCGTTACTCGATAAAATAAGCAAATGGTATATTGTGAATAATTCTCTATAGACTACAAAAAAAGTTATGCAATATTTACGAAAACTTTCTTATTAATCCTTTCCCCGTAGGTGCCATTGTGCAGATACAATTTTACCAAAAACGTTTTATTTGCTTAAACATATAGTTATTTACTCTTCTAAAAAGTCTTGTGAAATATGAAAATCTTTCAAACCGTCATTAAGACATAAGGATGTGGACTTGATGGTGGATAGTGTTCATTTACCTTTCGCATCTACCCTTTACCTTAAATACAATATCCGTATCGCTAGCTCCTTACACTATCGTCCTTATGACTGTACCCCTATACCAATAACCTTAAACCTAAACGTTTAAAATTATGGCGATAAATATATTCTTATAGCTGTATCCTTAGACCTATACTGTTAAATGTTCTTAAATGTTGATTATAAATGCTTAAGAAAAAACTCGTAGACAATTCATCATACTAACTAATAATCGATTTTATTCGATTCAAATTTTAGAAAAATGATCATAATCGAAGAAAAATCATAGATTCGGAATTAACCCAAGATGATGAAAACAGTCGCCGTAACGGCCAAAAACGACGATGTATACTATCATTTGATACAGTTTACGGTCATTTTTTATCATATCGTATACAGTTAGTAACGGCCATAAACGGCCTGAAAATCGAGCATTCGATTGTTTACACTCATTTACAATACGATGAAATACGGCCGTAATACTGTCGCTACCAAACGGGTGACATACGATCAAAAACGGCTGTTTACTACCGGATTTGTTTGACCTGAGAAGTTTACGATAGAATTGATTACAATATTCAATTTGGTTGAAAGAAATCATATTTGATCAGTTTTGATCAATCAATTATGCTTGAAATCGATGGAAGTGCGACTGGAGTGGGTGTTGGATATGGGTGTAAGTCTCCTCTTAATTAATATTCACACTCATACCCTAACAAGTATAATTTGTACATAAATGTAAATATTTAATTTATCAAATGGTAAGTAAAGTTTAATTTTTTAAATATAAGAGATGAAGAGGTGAGAAGTTGCTGAAAATCATGATTCAGATTTGAAAATACTAGATATATTTTCACAACTATCAAACTAGTCAAAATATGTCATAAAAAGATTCATTGAACCAATATTTATTGAAATTTATCGATTTTCTATATGAGTATTAAATATTAAGAGAAGATTCTTTATTGTATAACTTTTATTTTCTGATCAATGTTAATTTTACATCCGATTTTCCTAATATCTCTATCATGAAGATGGTCAAAACTTGACTTTCGATTTGTTTCAAAAAGTTTCTTTTTGAAAATTCAAGATAATCTAGAAGAAATGTATAAAATCTTCATAAGTATTACAAATATGTAGGTTATGATTTGGTGATTGTTCATTCTTACGAAGAAAAAATAGTTACATGTATTTTTACAGCAGAATAAATTTCCATTCTTGAGATTTTTCCAAATCATTAAAAAAATATTTTTGCCATCTGAATATTTCTTCACCCGAGATACCATCGTTGATCCCGCTGATTGTTCTAATTCTTATCCTTTTTCGTTGAATTTTTTAAAATCTATTCGAAAATTACCATACGAATGATAAACTCTATATTTCTTTCTTATTCATTTTTGACTCGAGAAGTATCATTATTTCTTTTCAATTTCATATGGATAATTTATGCAAAACTTAGGTCACCTGATGAGATATTGAAGCAAGATCGAAACGCATCATATGAGTTGTTTGAATAATTTTTCACTTCTGTAAAAACATCTACACCGACACTCACATTCTAGCTTTACTGAATCATGAACGCATTCTTCTTTAGAAGAAACGGGTTCCTCTTTACGGGTAGCGGCTTCGAGTGCGTTCTTCTATTTTGTAGAACGAGTTCGAATACATTTTTTTCCTCTGAACAAGTTGTTACCGAATAAATTGCGTTGCATATTTTCAAGGACTAGTTTTCGACCGTTTTTTTTCGTTAGATAGTACGACTGTTGGTTTTGGTAAAATGTCACCTAATCAAGAAGATAAGGATAATGTTTCGCTGTGTCGATTCATCTATAAGCCTAACAACTGATGACAAATTTACGAAAGTTCACAGCTTCATATAGAGTGTAGGTTGAATAATAAATCGACATGCACAATAGAATCCCGTGAACTAATCGATCAAAAATGGAATGAACGTGTTACTTGATGGTAACACTTGACTAAGAAAGAAGCAAAACTCTAAGTAAGACACGTACGAATCAGATTTAATTCAAGGAATGTGATGATATTTATCTTTTAATATAAAACAATTAGATTTATAACTAAAGTATCTAGATATAAGAAAAAATAAATAAGGAAATAATTGTGAGCAAAATGAGTCGATTAATTATGAAGGATAAAATACATATAAAGTGCAACAAGTATTTGTAAAAATCTTTAGTAGACTTCATGCCGTTGAGAAGCACAAGACAATTATACCGCTGCCTGTACATCCGACACTAGCGGCGCTCCAGGCACCAGTGATACCAACAGTAAATTTTCCTGTGCCATTGCCAAAATTTGCGACAGTGCTCCCGCGTGTGACAGTTGTGCCTTGTCCTTGATCGTAAAGACCCATGACCGAAGTCGTTGGACGTCCAGATCACGGGATGTTTCGACCGTCCAACGGAAACACATCTACTGACCAATTGCAACCTAAGTTTGGTGACGAGATCACGACCACTGGCGTGATGATTGTGGTGGATTGAAATGGATGCGCATCG